GCGGTGAGCTGAGCTGCTGAGGTGCCTGGAAAAGGGCCTGGGAGGCAGGTTGAAATCGAATGGATAAGAGGAGACAGGCCATTTGGAGCCCCAGTCGGCTCCTCAGCAGGGAGAGCCAACATTCCAGAGAAGGCCTCCTGTACGGAAGGCCCAGGGCCAAGGCACAGGGCAGAGCCTGCTAGCCTTTCTTCATGCCAGCTTCCAGGAGCGGTGCAGAGCTGTTCTGCTTGTTTGTTTGTTTTTGGTTTTGCTTTAGCTGTGTGTTGAGGGAGCCATTTCCTCTCCTGTACCCGACTTTGGGTAACACATAGGACACTGATTCCAATGCCTCAGGATTCTGCTGTTATGGAAGTGAGGTGGGCCCTGTGATAATATTCTGAGCGACAGGTGCGGTGGAGTGCTGAGGACCACAGCCGGCTGTAGTGGGCCGACACACTGGCATGCCAGCACTTTCGCCCAGCAGGTATGAGGCCGAGGGTAGCAAGCTTTGCCAGTTTTTCCAAAGGAGTTAAAAATCTGGAGGAGTTTTAAACTTTGAGGAGGAAAGAAAGGATTCAAAGAGGGTGGTCTAGAGAAAGAGGGAGGTTTTAGTTTTTAAAGCATTGGCTTGTTAGAAAAAAAATTACTAAAACTAAAACTCACTCTATGCCAAATATAATGTGTCTGCTGGCTGGGTTTAACTTGTGGACCACTGATTTGAGATGATTTGAAATAAAACCATATAAGACCGCTTCTCCTGGAGTCTGCTTACGGCTATACCAAATGCAGTGTCCCCTGGAACGACACACATTTAGTGTCTGTTACACAGACGACATTTTCGGAGACAACATAAGGAACCTATGAGAAATACTATGTTCTTTTCATCCTTTTGTGCATTTAGAATATTGCTGAAGCGGTATACTTTCATGCAGGAAAGTTAGGTAAGGGAGCAATGCATAATTACTTATCAGAACAACCCATCTGATCGTATATACCCAAGCCGCCTTAAAAGGAAAGAAGCAGGTAGATGGGGAGACAGTCTGCTCCTCGGCTAAGTGGCTGTCATACAGTCATGAGGACATGAGTTCAGATGCCCCACGTCCACGTAGAAAGCACAGCATGGCGGCTTGTGCCCATCAGCCCAGTGCAGAGGGGTGGAGATACAGGGATTCCTGAAACTCCTCTGGTTAGCCAGCCTAGCTACACCGATGAACTTCAAGCTCAGTAGGTGACCCTGACATTTGATGTCAGCCTTGGACCTCGCACATGTGTGTGTATGTGTACACAGTAAGAATATACACAATTCGGGCAACACAAAATAGTTAAAATTTGGATCTCCTGTAACCTATGCCACAGTGAGCGGAGGAGGCCCGCATGTGCAGCCTCGGGGACGGAGAGACAGACAGAGATGGATTCCAAGGGCTTGCACCCAGGTTTTGAACAGACCCTGCCCCACCCTCCATCCCCCACACACCAAATAAGGTGGAGAGCAGTAGTGAAAGACACCCAGTGTCAACTTCTACTGTCTAATGTCAACGCGTGGTTAAGTGCACTTGTATGTGAATTTGCCTGTGTCCATATGCACACACCAACGAAAATCTATAGGGTTTTAGGCCTATAGCAAAACTCCAGTGTAATAAAATCAGCCATTGCGGAAGTGCCGAGGGTGCTGTTCATCCTTATGTCCTTAGCACTTGGCACGTAGAAATGATGCTCAACAAAAATATTCCTTGACTAAAAGGAAAAAATTAATAAGTCTGGGAAGGAAAAGAGAACTCAGTCCTGTGAACTGAGACAGTGAGGAATTAGGCAAATATTTTCATTATTGACAAGACAGTATTCAACAGAGAGACAGTGAGTTCAAGGATCTGAGAGTATGGTCCCCATTGTTGCTAGGGAATGGGGATGTGTAACCAGTTCGCACTGGAACCCATATTAGAGTTGACAAGCCATTTGCCATCTCCGCTGAAATGTCTGCTGAACCTCCTAATGACCAATTAAGTTTCCTTGACATTTTGACGCAGGAAGAAAGGGGGGACCCAGACACTATGTTCATGTAACAACCTATCTCATAATGAGCATGCTGATTCCCTCATCAGTGTTTTGGTTGTTTGGTGATTGGTCCACTGTCTTCCCGGGCCAGGTGCCACACTTTGAGTTTGTGTGTGTGTGTGTGTGTGTGTGTGTGTGTGTGTAGACAACCTCTATGGGTTCTGATTCATTGACCCCTTTACTCCTGCAACTGTAACCATAGACTAAGAAACAGGAAGCCCAGCTGTGCATCAGAGAAGAAGGTAATCCTGATTGGGGTATTAAGCAAGGCTCAGAAAAGAAAGGAATCAAATCCAGAAATGTTGGTACATGTGTGTAATTCCAGCTCTTGGAAGACAGACCCAGTTTAAGATTAGTCTGAGCTACCTAGAAAACCTTGTCGCAAGGAACACGGGTAAGAGGTGGAGACTATCTATTATATGAAAGACTTCTCAAAATGAGTCCCTCTCTCTCTCTTTCTCTCTCTCTCTCTCTCACACACACACACACACATACACACACGAGAGAGAGAGAGAGAGATGATAAAGAAGCTAGTGATAAAATCTCTTTGCTCTATCAGAAAGTTTGTTTTGAAGGGGAGTTAAAGTTTGTTTGGTGAAACTAAAAGCCAGGCTGAAGAACTCACACTTTATCTGACATCCTCATGGAGGGGAAACTGAAGTCCTCCATGAACTTAGATCGTCTGATATTAAAAGCAAGGGCTCCGTTGCAATCTAATTTATTGTTCAGATTAACAAATCAATACTGGAGGACTTTGTTGGAGACAAACAGGACCCTCGACAAAGATGTGAGCTGACTGCAAATATCCTGTGCTAGACTCTAGAATTTTAGAACACAATGGCCCCTGCATTAGCAGAATAAGCTCAAACATGAAGACCACAGTATGAGAAATGCCTCAGTAAAATCAGACTCCATCATTATTAATAGCCATCTCATTATTAATAGCCAGGTGACCAGAGGCTTAGGATTTTGTTGTCATGGTAGACATTTCCAATATATGTATTTACAATCCCCAAGAAGCCCCAGCATGCCCCAGGATATAAGTTGTATCCATATGATGCCCAGAACTAAAAATTAAAACACAACTTCTAGTCACCACCACAGGGCCTTTTGGTCACATGTTTCCTGAAGAATTTTTGGACGATCAGCACAGACAGATGTCCATAGATCCCCTTGGACCAGCTATGGGAATTTGTAGGTCTCATGGATGCCTTGAATTGGAGTTTCCAATGTGCTGTGAGCCCTGATTCCATTCTTTAAAGCAAACATGTCTAGAATTCTGACTCATGGAATGGACAAAAGCCTCAAGACTCCCCCTCATGTATGAGAGTTTCTTCTGATAGACTTTTATGGGGAGGGTATAAAAGTTTAATAAGGAGCACATAGTGATTTCAAAATTTCTTACATTAAATTTTATTATAAATGGGGAAATAGGAACCTTATAGTGAACAGCCTGGTACATACCATCTTAATTAAGCAACGACAGTAAGACATCAGCAGTGCTGAGAGAAGGCTATCAATGGCCTTTGGCAAACGATAAGTCACTGATGTTCCCAGACAAATCCATATCTCTAACCTAATTAGCAGGAGTTATTTACAAATCATCTGAACTGAGGGACGTTCTGCCAAATAACAAAAAACAAAGAGGGTTTTTAAATTATTTATTTTATTTTTTATATTATATTTACCTCATTGAACTTCCTCCCAAACCCTCTCATGTACTCCTCCTTGCTCTCTTTCAAATTCACTGGCTCTTTTTTTCATCAAAGGGCATCAGCTGTGAGAATTTAAAAAAACATAGAACATGAATGATGGCTTATCCAGGTTTGAAAACAATGGAGTATGGGCTAAATGTACTGCAGAGCTTACTTTTTATGAGACGTGTTTGAAGGGATTGTAAAAATAAACAAAACCTAATAAAATCTAACAGTGAACTGATAAGCCCATCAAAGTCTAACATACTTATTGTCCCATCCATTTTAGTGAGTTCTGGACTAAGCCACTAGTAAAAGTCAAGGTGTATTTTGTTTTAGCTCTTAGATCCACACAGACAGGCAGGCTTCTGTCTCCACTTTCTGTAGCCAATTTACCTCCATCTCCGGGAACCTGCCACCGGGTTCAAGCCCCAGTCTCTTCAGAACACTGTAAAAACAGATTGGCTAGACAGTCTGTCTGCAGAAGGAAAACTTTGTAAAGTTGTGATCCCGAGGAATTATAGCTACTATTGTGATTACGGGAGACACCTTTCCATGTATCCCAGGCTGTCCTTGGACTTGCTATGTAGTCAGGGATTTGAGTCTTTTGTCCTATTACCACTGCTTCCCAGGTGCTAGAATTACAAGTGGGTACCACCACCATGCCTAGAGGATGCCATGTCGTGGCTAGAATTTAACCCAGGGCTTCCCTCATGCTTGGCTGCATCCCTGTCCCCCACCATCAGGAGAGGAGTTACAGTGACATTCATGTAACATACACTTGACACATGGCAAGATCTGAGCACTTTCTCCTGTACTGTTTGGAAGGAGGAAAAGGAAAGGAGAAATGACACAATTGCATTATAATCTCAAAAATGAAAGAAATAAAGTTTTAAAAAGTAGCATTGGCTTTAAGGGTTTTCACATGGAAGGACACATAAACTGGCTGAGTCCCCTAGAACAGATTTTCAGTCAGAACATGTCAATTCGTTGAATTCCCGCTTTGACCTTATGAAGTTAGAAGCTGTTATTGTTCCCATTTTACCTGCAAGGAAGCCAAGGCCAGAGGAAATCCAGCACCCTGCCCAAGGGAGTCAAGGGCAAAGCCAGACTTTGATCCCAGAAAGAAAGATTCCTCCCCCACCCCCTCAAATAGCTCTGTCCAATTAGTTCTGCCTCATTACCCTGGTGAATTATTAACCATGTGGGATTTGTACACACATATCTGTCTGAGTTTTCTTCCCCATCCCTAAAAAGAGGGGAATAAGCAGAGGAGCCAGTCTGGGATCATGAGGGCCCGGAACCAAAGCAAGGTTTCTTCAGCCCCTCTTTGCCTCCCAACGCTGCAAAACAAACGAGACGTTGCTAAAAGCATCAGAGAAACCTGCCATCCCCGCTCTGTGTTTCTCAGGAGGAGGGATCGCAGCGCTGAAGCCGTGGCTATAAATATCAGAGTTAATGAGGGAGGACTCCTGGAGACCTAAATGTATCCATTTTACGGGTTTGTCATACATCAGGTTAATATGATTCTGACAAATAATTATATTGAAAACTGGACAGGGACTGGAATGTTGCTGCTCCTTTTGAATGTTACAGCAGCGTCTTCTGGCTAATTAAAAGGTGATGATACCGGCTCTGAAATGCAGAGCAAAACTGTAACAATTTGTGACATTTAGACAAAGGAATGTGTGCACGCCTGCACCTTGGTACAGACTGTGTGACTGTCACTGTCTAATTCCCTTTAACAAGCAGCGCAACTCCTTCATAGGAATGGTTGAGCAGTTAGACCTGGTGTGGATGCTGAGGAGAGAGAGGACAGAGGAGGAATTTGTTTTGTGCCTTTTCTTTCCTTTTTAAAAATCATTCATTATTTTTCCCGCTCTCGGTCTGTCTTAGTTTCCTGTAGTTCATTATGAAGGGTGAGGCCTTGTGGGCTTTTCCTTATTCACTGGAGGCCTGTCTCTTGTGGATGTCCTTGTTCAGCTCATGTTTTGGCCGTCATGATGGTGGAATTTCAATTAATGTACAAGGTCAGACTTATAAACATACATAGAAGCAACGTTATATGGACTGAGATTGTTGTATTTATAAATATATGTATATACATAAATGCATGTAACAACAATTAATAAAAGAGGCCATGAATTTAAAAGAGAACAATGAGGGATAGATATGGGAGAGTTTGGAAGGATGAAAAGGAAAGGCAAAATGACCTAATTGCACTATAATCTCAGAAATGAGAGAAATTAAGTTTTGAAAAGGAGCATTGATTTTAACAGGTTTCACGTGGAAGGACACACAGATGGGCTGAGTCCCTGAAACAGATTTTCAGTCAGAACACGATGGTAGCTTCTTCTCTGGCCCTAAGAGTGATGTATTCTCTCCAGGGTTAATTACAGTGGCCTCTGAGAGGAAAGGACTTCTTGCTGATGACATCCTGAAGCTGTGACATTTGCCGTCATGTAATTGGGTTGTCCTGAAATCCTGGAGCTGCATGCACCGGGCTGGAGAGCAGGCACTTCTGGGAAAAACCGAGCTGGAAGGTGACATCCACATTCACGGGCCTCTCTCCTCCCCAGCACGGCTGGTTGTTCACCACACAAGGGATCACACAGAGGGTCTAAGACTCAGCCCTTCCTATGTTCACAAGCCTACTGTCTGAGTTAGCAACTCTCAGCTCATCCTCATCGTCAGACTGATGTGGGAGCCGGGGCTCCTAGAGCAACTGAAAGGTATGGCTTTCCTGTGCCTTCCTGTCTTCTTACCAAGCTACTGAGGTCTTCCTTCACCTTCCCCTACACAGCCATGCCCCCATCTGCAACTGTGCAGCGTGAACGTGAAGGAGGAATGCTCACAGCTGCACCAAGTCCCCTGTGTCCTTGACTCTGTTGGTACCGCTTCTTTTCATCAGTGACAACATTCCCTCACTCTCCTTTCTGACCATCACCCCTCAACAGATTTTCAGCTGTTAGCTGCGGTGAAATGCTCCTTCACACGGCCACACCACATCCATGTTCTCACAATTCAATTCGGTCTTCCTCATGCACAAATGAAACTAACATACCTGCTCAGCTGCTGCCTTCTCACCAACAGTCAACCACCCATTCATTAAGATTCTCGATTTTAATAAGTGCTATTTCTTTTCAGTGTGTGTGTGTGTGTGTGTGTGTGTGTGTGTGGCGTATGTGTGTATGTGTGTGCATGTGATGTGTGTGTATGTGGTGTGTATGTGTGCAGTATGCGTGTGGTTATGTGTATATATAGTGTGTGTGGTGTGTGTGGATGTCGTGTGTGTGGATGTGTTTGTGTGGTGTGTGTGTGTGGTGTATTTATAGGGAAGTCAGAGACCAACATCAAATTTCTTCCTCCATTGCTCTCCATCCCATTCTTTGAGACAGACAGTCTCTCACTGAACCTGAACACATCAGATGATTTAGATTAGCGGACCTCCCAAAGCCCTGTCTGTTTGCTCCCAGTGCTGAGGTTACAGATCAGAGTAAGTGGCATATTAGTTCTTTGAGAATTTTACGCAATTTAGTCTAACATATTCACCCCTCACTCCTCCCCCAGTTCCTTCTAGACCCCCACAATCTCATTTTTTTTCATGACCCAGTTGGTGCCGCTCACAAAGACCTGATTGTGGGGTCATCCTCCTAAGCATGGTAGAGCTAAGGAGTCACACCATTGAAGGAAACTTACTCTCCATCTCACAATCCTTCATCTGTGTGTAGCTCTCCAGTTATGGGTGGGCTGATGCATCCCAGGCTGAAATGATGGCCAGGCTGAAGTGATGGCTAGGCTGAAGTGATGGCTAGGCTGGTCATGCGCAGATCTGTGAAGGCATCCGCAGACGCTGTGAGCAGGTGAGTGCAGCAATCCTGTCATGTTCAAAAGATACCTCCTCTCTGGCCCTCCCTCATCTTTGACTCTTACAATCTTTTAGCCCCCACCCCAACCCCTCTTTGAGAGATGGTTCCTGAGACTCGAAGGAGGAGCTGATATAGCTGTCCCACTTGAGAATGCGCACTCCACTGGCAGGCTGCATACTTTGATCTGTTTGAGTTTCTGTGCCAACCGCCATTCACTGCACAAAGAAAGGTCTCTGATGAGGCCTGGCCATTGCATTATTTGTGGGTATAGAGGTACAAAGTGAAAGAAGAGTTCATTTAGCAGAAGAGTGGTAATAGTTTCACTTCTGGGACCTGAGCTCCCCAAACATTGGTTCTTGGCCAGCTTTATAGTATCAGGCATGTGATTCCTTCTGTAGAGTGGGTCTTTAAACCGATCAGAAAATGCAGTTCGTTGGTTAGCTCCATAATATCCATGCCACTACTTCACCCACAGGCAAATCTTGCCATGCAAGTCATTACTATCGTTCACAGGGTTCACAGCTTGGTAAGACTGTTGACGACTTTTCCCCTAGCAGCCTATATATAGAACCTTCTGGTACTACAAAAGCCCCCCATGGTGATTTCTCCATATCTTGTGACCAACAAGTGAAGAGTGTTCAACAGGGTCTTAACCTTCAAGTTGTGGTGGGGTAAGCAAGAACAGCTATGCCCAGACTTTCATGTGTGTTTTGGGGTTCCAAACTCAGGTCCTCATGGCTCGTATCATAGACATTTGCCAACCAAGCCGTCTCCCTAGTCCCAGCTTCTGCTTTAGAAAGGCATCTGACAACACTCCATGTTAGGCTACTAAGATCAGTACTGTCACTTCTAGAACCTAGAGCATCACCAGGAGAAAAGGCCTCAAGTCTCAGAGACAGCTGCTGTTTCCTCCACTCTATAAGTGGCTGTGTGAGAGCCTTCATAGGTAACTTGGCACTGGCCCAGAGACCCTCTGTCTGGTCCGGAGACATCTCGCTGTATCTTCTTGCTATCTTTCAGAAAGTGCAGAAAGCCCTTGGCTGCAGGAGATCAGAGACAAAATAGAGAAAGCCCCAACAGAAGGTAGGCCCTCGACCCAGTGTTTGGAAGAAAATGTTTTTTTCCTTTAAAACAAACTTACTTTCTTCTTTGCCATATGGATGTGTGAGTGCGCGTGAGCGCGTGGGCATGAATGCATGTAGGTGCACGTGCCGCTGTGTGGAGGTCAGAGGACAATCTTCAAAAATTGCTTCTCCGCTCCTGCCGCTGGGTTCTGGTCACTACTTGGTAGGTTGCAAGTGCCTTCACCTACAAAGCCATCTTACCAGCCCAGAAAATGCTTTTCCTTATTCTCTGCCCCTCCCTCCCAAATCCCAAGGGAGGATGATAATGTCTTCCTGGTAGATGGAATAAGATGAAATCCTTTGTTCCAACTAAACTTCTTGCTGTGGTCCCCAGCCAACTTTCCATAACTCATAAAATCAGCCCAGTTCCCACTCATCCCCCAAGACCTAAGCGGTGGCATGGCTCCGGACAGGTGGTCAGGTGGTGCCCACCATGGGGCCTGGGTGTGATCTTCCCTCCCACCTGGACATAAGGAGAAGGACTAACTGAAAATGTTTTCTATTAGCAAATGGCAACACAAATAGCTAGGAGTTCGCTGGGAGTTTCACACCTGAGGAAGCTATGAACGTGCTTGCTAGAACTGATTGGATATCTCCCGTCTGGCAAGGTTAGATATTTCATACTGACCACTATCTCAGGCATGTCCAGGCTGATACAAGGAGGTGAGCAACTATAAATTTACACGGAGAGGTGGGAGAAAGTGGGAGATGAGGCTTTAGGATCAGAGGGCAATAATGAAGGCGTGTAGAAAACAGTCACCGACCACAGTCCTGCAAGGCAATACTCAGTTTTCGCTTTTACTTGAAATGCTGAAAACCAAGAGGGGCTCCATTGAATTAGAACTCAGGAAAGGGCATACAGATGAAATGGTATAGATTTGTTAGTGGTCAGTGGGGGCTTAAATTCCTAGATCAGACTGGATCTCTGTGAGCACTAGGACTTGCTGGAACTTAGGGAATGCTCTAGGAGAAGAAGAAACGGGCTGCAGGGAGAAAATATTTGTACACAGGCACCTGCTACCACCGAAGCTGCTGTAGCTTTTCTGGGTAAGAAGAAACATACATCTGTCAGGTCTTCATCCAGCTAAGAAGTGGCCATGAAGGGACAGTGAGGCCATGCCTCCGCATCTCCAGACCCTGAAGCACAGCCTGAGCCCGGACGAGGAACAAAGCACTCTGAAGGCTGTTCCTGCAGGGCCGGGCCGTGTGCACAGGTTCCCAGAGACAGCAGTGGCCAGTCGTGGTCAGTGTGGCCATGGGAGAGGTGTCTTGTTTTAAAGTTCAGGACTTGCAAACTCTGAAACTTAATGATGGCCTTGGGCCCTATGCAGGTGTGAGAGCATACGTTGGAGTCAATGATTATCTGTCTGGTGACCTTGAATATGAAGAGGCTGTCTATAACTCTCCTCAGACGCCACAGTACAAATAGTCCTGGCCTTAGAATGCTGTGATCCATCCTCAGTTACCCTAGAAATCTGCACCCTGTTTTCTGAGAAACAGGTTGTGGGTGGTGGGCCAGGATAATTCTTCTAGAAGGGGGCGGTTTTACTTAGGAGGGATCTACATATAAAAAGGCTAAGTTAGAATTTGTAATAATCTAAGCTTTCTTCACTTACTTGGAAGTAAGTTAGTTAGTCTCACTTTTATGTATGTGTGTATATGCACAATGCATGTTTTAGTCATATATGAATACAGCTTCATATGTATGGAGATATATGTATATAGCTGACAGTTTTATGTGTATATGCATATACCTGACCACAGAGCATATGAGATCTTTGGGTCAGAGGCAAAGTCCATTTATGACTTTTCAGCAGGAACTCAAGACACAGACCCCCCCACCCCAAGGCTCTGTAGTGAGGGCGAGGGCACCAGGCATGCAGTTGAGAGCGTTATTGGAGGACCCAGTTAATTAGGAAACTCTGATCTCATACAGATCCACGAGAGACCTGCACATCCTCCCCACAGAGTAAAACATTATCTCTACTCTGAAATTGCATCTAATCTTTGGGTAGAGGAAAAGGAGGTTTTTATCTTTAATACTTTGAAGCATCTCCAGGGAGAGAGATGTCTCTAAGCTTTACTATCCTGAACATCTCCTTATGCAAACAGTTTAAATTCAGCTGTAAATGTTTTTGCTTAGATCTTGACTGTGGAGCAATGTAAGCTGTTCATGGAGAATGGACTCCCTCAAAATACCTGCACATAAAACACAAATATCTATTTCCTAACCTAGATGCCTTTAGATATGCACAAAACCTCAGCAATATTTTATACGATTATAACGCTCCATATTTTAGCATTTTGGAGATAAGAAGAGCAGAAGAGGGGTATGTGGCCATCTCTCATATTTATCCCTCTACTGTTGATGGCATATGGGAAGCGGTGTTCTTTTAAGGGACAATGGGGGATCAGGTGTTTAGGGACATGGTGACCAGTAACATGAGTGTTCTAATAAGGAAAACATCAAGGAAAAACATCTGCCCAGTGGATTTCTCAAAGGTATGAGGAAACTCTCAAACTCGTCCACAAGAATAGGGCCCTTGACTCGGAGGAGTCTTATACTTGCAGCACGAGGATGTGCTTGTGTGCTCTAAAGTACAATTGGCTGGTTGAGTTCTTCTTGACCTAGAGAGGGGGGCAGGATCATTCCAAAAAGAGTAAGCTCAGAAGCCAGGTGTCCTGCTTAGGGTTTCTATTGCTGTGAAGAGACACCATGACCATAGCAACTCTTACAAA